AATCCCTCCCCCTCACCCCCTCACTTGCATCCTACGAGTCCCGTCTAAAGACCTTCCTCTTCAAAAGTGCCTTCAGCCACGTTCCCACCCCCAACATGCTCTCAACCCCTCCTGAGGCCAACTCCCAGTTCGGGTTCAAAAACTCTGACTGTCCAGCGCCCTGGGTCTTATTTCGAATGAAGGGCGCTATACAAGTGTAATTTGTTGTTATTGTATTTCTCCCTTGATATCTGTAACAGGAGGTTGCAGATACAAACTCTGGCTGGTAACTGAATGGGCATCATACTGATATGTGAGAACTCAGCTCTTATGTCAACAAACAGCCAGGTACATTGAAGCGGGTTCTGTAGGTTGGTGTGACACACATTCACTTACTGGCAGGAATCGCTATGTTATTTCATCCCCATTGCCAAAATTGACTTAATGTTGAATAGATAAGACACAAATTTCATTGCAAGGGTATATTATATAGAACATTAGATTAGACTGTCTAGGTTTCATTTCACTAATGAATCACGGGAAAGACTGGGATCACTCACTGATGAAAACACAGCAAATTCTACAGCTTAATCATTCCTATCTTAAGATCTATTTAGATTGTTGGAAGCAAAGCAATATTTCTTAAAGCAATAAGGTGATTAAGAGCAGAAAGCCTGATTTATACTTCCTGCTATTAATCACGTTGGTGGGGGCTAAGGAGAGTTCTGCACACGTGAACTAAGCACACGCATAGAACTTGGGAGATTGTCCGTCTGTCTGGTAACTCTGTTAGCCAGCTAGCTGTTTAATAATCTGCTGTCCAAAGAAGTCCTCAACTGCTCCATTGGTATTGGCTTTGGAATCTCATTGCTCAACCCCAATTTATACATTCTAAACAACTTGCATTGATATAATTCCCTTCACGCTGGGTAGGTTTTCAAACACTGAACAAGGCATTAGGTGTATTTTACTGGCTGAACTGTGCACCAGGCAAGTGTACAAGAATATGAACAATGATTTCTACCCTCATTTCAATGGTCACGAACACTCAGTATTGTCTGTTATCCACTTACTTGGGCTCCGGTGTGGGGAGCACAATGGGCTCAATGTGGGGATTGTGCTCCTATCATTGTGTTACTGCAAGTCTCAACTTCTCGGGAATGGGGGGGAGGGAGAGGAGGCATCCAGGCATCCCTCTAAAAGGGAAGTCTGTGGGACATTCCAGGTGAGGAGTCTACAGGCAGTGAGGACCTTGGGTGAGGGCACAGTTCTGGAGAGGAACCTCCCTGAACACTTGGGTGATGAGTTTATTTTAGCTAAAACGTTCTCATCAAGTACATCATATCTGGCAAAGCAGCCTTCATTCCCATTCCCATCCAAACTTGCCATTGTGTCACTCTGGACATTTTTTGTGTAGCGTGGTCTAACTCTGCATTATTTCTTGATGTGATTCGAAAATAAGTCATCTTGTGTTGCATTAGGTAACTTATCTGGTTTAGAAATGAAATTAAAAGCCAAAGATTTTCATGCTGCACCGATGGAGAACATCCTATTCCCAAGACAACTCACATCACTTGCCTTTGATTGTAAGGCCTTCACCAGCTCCTAGCCAGGCCTCTAGGTGGCAGGCTCCACCTTAAGGACTGTGAGAAGTCACAAGATCCATGAGAGGCTTGGATGAAGAAGGCCATTTGGCACATTAATGATCTCATCCAGAATACCAACCATCCAAACTCACTATTGCAGCGTACGGTTGTTTCTTAAATGAGTCCAGTTTCCTGGTCACAACCTCCCTTGCCCTAATTTGCCCTATCGCATACTCTAATCCCTTCCCTGTTTCCTGTTGTCTTGGTGCATCTCAAAGTACTGCTATTATTTTACCAAACTACAATCATATCTCCTGTCAAAAAGACTGATGCATCCATGGTTTCTACTCCCAATATCCCAATACTTAGGATTGCATACACTGTTACAGCACGGAAACAGACAATGGCGTTTTGAGGGAAATGTGCCTGTGGGGTAAGTACACGTGAGAGCCAACACATTTATCTCCTCCCTTTACATGGATTTGTATGATATGAAAATATCTGGGTGAGGTGGGAACAAGAGAGGATATTCCCAGACATAATCAATAGTGATTTTGCAAAATATAGACAAACATTTTTTTTAAATATAAAAACATACATGACCTTTCTTTAGAAACAACTGTTTTCCAAAACATTTCAGCCCACATGACAATATTAATGCGCTGTCTGCACCTTAGTGGCAAAGAGCAGCAAGGGCAACTCACCAACAGAATCTCAATGGTTCCTAGGATGTACATGGCTCCAGCGAAGGTGGTTCCGAGGAAGAAGCAGATTCCCACTGCTCCTCCAAACTCGGGACCCAGTGACCTTGAAATCATGTAATAGGAGCCTCCAGCTGTGAAATCAGGAAGAATGTGTGAATAACGCAGGCCTGCCTAGTAAAAGTCTAGAACTGGTTTATCCAGAAATTAATAAACTATCTCGTCAGCAAGTACAAAGTCCTCGACAGTGTTACAGTAATAAAATAGACATCAACCTCTCCTGAATTGAATGCAAAGAAACCGGTACGGTGTTTGCAAAGCTAAGTTGCTTCAACTCATAGTGAGTGTCCCTTTGCAATGTAGTTGGGGGAGGGGATAAGGAGGCAGGTAGTTACTCCACAGGGTTGATGGCAACACACAAACAAATGAGCACATGTGATACGTTCATTTTGAGCATCATGGTTGTGCCTTCAGTTCTGGTGGCTAGACCTTCTCCAATGTTTAGGCATCTCCATGCAGGCCAGCAATTCAGGAACCCCTACATTAAAGGAGATTAGGGGCTTGCGACCACATCAACAACAAAGAGAACAGGTAAACCTTCCCAATATAGTCTCTGGACAATATTCTGTTCTCCTCAATAGAAAAGAACAGCATATACAATGGACAGGGTTTATGTGGGGGGAGGAGGGGGAGCTCTGAAGATCCCAACACCAGCAATCTCACCCTTTGTTAACATTAATGTAGCCACCATTTACAGTAAAAGGACAATAAAAGGTCAATATAATTCTGACCAAAAATACAGATCATGTACACTAGGAGATGCCTTTTTTTTGCTTTACTGGAATCTTAATTTACCTGGCACCACACCATTGGTTGCAATAGCACTCATCGATATGGCAGTCAGCAAGGTCTGTGGAGAGAGACTCAGCATTGAGCATTAGCTGGAAATCAGTACAGTAATCACACAGAGAAATCCTCAGCGACAGGCATTCAGAAATGATTTTAGCTACCCCTTTCCTAGAGCAAACATATACCCACTGTCTCACACACACACTCTCTTTTTCTCTCAAACTCACTCACACACACTCTTTCTCTCTCACACAAGAACAAATTACATTTGTATAGCGCCTTTCACATTGGGAGAACGTCCCAAGGTGCTGGGACATATGCTCTCTCTCTCTCTCTCTCTCTCTCTCACACACACACACAAAGGTGAAAAATACATCATTGCGAACGAGGTTCAATAATTCCACAGCGTGATCCAAATTTTGAATTTCACAGGATTTGTAACCAGTGACCTCTGAAACTCCATCTGGACACTGACTTTGAGCGAGGGAGTGAGTTGGGAGAGGGAGTGGAGTCCAGAGGGTCAGCAGGAAAGACGTTCAGGATCCTCTGGTTACAAAGCCTGTTGTTAGTCTTAAAATTTAGAACCCAGTGTTTCTCCTTTGGATGGGTTTGACCAAGAAGGTGGAGAGGTTTCCTTCCAATGATGACATTCCTCTTTCGTTCACGTAGTCTGGGCAGAGAATTTCAGCTGTAACGCACTAATTCCATCCACACAATAACTGGCTCCCTGTAACAGGTCAATTTATCACGTCCAGCAGCTTTTGTGGGACAAGACTACTTACGCAGGCACAGCACATGAAGACAATCCAGAACGATTCCATGATTCCCGAAGCCCCCACAATCCATGTCAAACGTAGGAATAGGATGACTCCCAGGATGTTCTGTAGACACGGCAGATAGACTCCGATAAAAGTCCCCATTCGAGGAGCCTGGAAGGCATTAGAGAATGAATTAAACCTTGGCTCCAAGCGTCTATCCAATGCTGGCTACATTGAGGTGGTGGATCACAAAGACAGCGGCCCTTGCCACCACTGTGAGATTGATTCCCACTCATCGTATAAACCAACCAGTACCACTGAACGGTACAACGTTCCCATAATTGGAAGGGTGTGCTCAGCGACAAGCGCAGTGCTTAAGGACCTTATTGTGTAGGTGGTGCCTTGGCCATAGAGACCAGCTTGAAGAAGTGGCCTTGATAAGACATCTGATCACAGTGTTTAAAAGTAGAGTCAAATAGGTGTTCACCTTTAAAGTTCCAATTGACAGTCCAGAATTTTCAAGGAATCAGTGATAGTTATTAAAAAGCTAGTCCTGCTCTTCAACAATATTCAAACATCTCGGTTCTACTTTGACAGAGGTCCTCGCATGCCCCCTTCACACCCCACAGTCAGTGCCAGGAGGATAAGGTGTGGATAGTACAGATGTACTAATCTAGTCTCCTGCACCACATCACTGATTGAAAGAGACAAATCCAATCTCAAACTCCACCTGACTCACTCCTTCCCTGTTCTCTTTCAAGGTGCGTCTCAAAATGTACTTCTTTGATGGCGCTTTCAATTAATCCTCCTCTCCCCACCCCCATCTTGGATGCCCACCCAGCTCTGCGAAGCTCTTTCAGACGTCCTCCCGAAGTGAGGACACATATGCAGTGAAACCAGCTATTGTGTCTCACTATAGCACAGGTTAGGATTTTATGGATGCCGACCACAGCGTTATAACAGGACTCCACTGTACCTCCAGAGCAGAAGTCCCATGAGTTAATTTTTTACAAGATTCCTTAAAAGGAATGTTAATCATAAAATCGTAAAATCTTACAGCACAGAAGGAGCCCATTACGCCTGTGCTGGCTTTTTGAAAGAGCTACCAACTAGCAATGTTTAAATAACCTGGCAGATTGCCAGGGCACTAGGAATAAACTTCCTCTTTTTGGAAAGAATCATGAGATCTTCAATGTCCACCTGAAGACCAGGCAGAATGTTGGGAGATTGTTGTCCAGGACACTAGAAGAAACTGCCTTCTCTTCTCGAATAGTGCCAAGGCACCTTTAACATCCACCTGAACAGGCAGACAGGTCCTCTGTCCTCGGCTAAATGTCCCATCTAAAGGACCACACTTCTGACAATGTTGCATACTACAAGCGCTCACTGGAGTGTCACCAAGACTATGTAAATTGAAAGTCCCGATATGTGGCTTGATCCCACAAATTCTGACACAGGTGAGAGTGCCACCAATTCAGCCAGACTGTAACACAAAGAGGTGAAGAGTCAGCTCTAGTGTGCCAATTTGTAGCTCTGCAAAGGAAACGAACAGTAATAGTAATAATAACAAAAGGCTACAGCACATTTCATGTCAGGAGGACATCCCAAAGTACTTGACAGGATATACTGTAAAGTGGTTTGAAAACGCAGCAGACAATTTTGCGCACAGCAATGTCCTACAAACAGCAATTAATTACTAATTTGTTGGGGATTGTTGGCTAGGACAACGGTAGAACCTCTCTTCTCTGTTTGGATAGGATCTTTAACGTCCACCCTAAACAGCCAGATGGAGCCTCGGTTTATCGCTTCATCCAAAGTATAGTGCCTGCAATAATGCAGCATTGGAGTGTCAACTTGGACTATATGAATTCCAAGTCTCCAAATGGGGATTGAACACACAATAATCTGACTCAGAAGCATGAGTGCTACTAACTAAGCAAGGCTGACACCTTGAGAGATATCAAAATGCATGCTGTAAGGGGAGGTCATCGATTATTGAAGAAGCTGACACTACCAAAAACAAACCTCAGTAACAATCAGAAATACAGTACATGGATATAAAACTGAGATAATCATCTGAAAGTGGCTGAAAACACTTTTCATTCTGATCCACTCTGACCTGTAAGCTCTAAACACAAGACCTTATCGCTGTGTGAGCTGAGGATCAGCAAAAATGTCTCATATCCTACTCACCATTGAGGACAGTAGGCACTCACTCTATCCCTCTTGGGAAGTGCCGTGAACTAGGTCTTGGCTTTTCTTTGAGGCATCAGTTATAGCTGAGACAGCGTCTTATAAAGCCACAGAACTCTAGTTTTAGAACAAACTGTTTTTCCACAAGCCCTTTATCAATACATAGTTTGGATCTATTTATGGACCTGAACAAATCACTTGGTAACAGAAGGAAGAAGACTTTTGGAATGGATAATATTATCATTTTTGGTGTTGACAATGTGATGAAGTAGTGGGAGGGGGTGTGGATGGGAGGATAATACAGTGACTGAAATATTTGTCCTCAGACTGATGAACCAGTTTTTTTTTTAAATCGGGGGAATGCGGGAGGCAGAAATTGTGGGAATCTGGCGCTAACACTGCATGTGGAATGCTTGAAGCGTGTCAGAGTCTCTCTTCAACAGCATCCACGATACTGCACTTTACAGTAATCATGTGAAGCACTTGGGATCTTTAATGTCCACCTGAAGAACAGCCAGATGGGACCTCAGTTTGGAATACTTTAACCAAAAGGCAGTGCTCACCAGCACTGCATTGAAGTTAATAAAGGCTCAGTTGCTAACAGGGAATCCAGTCAGTTAATGCCACACAAAATTGCAGAACTTTGGAGTAGGAATTGCCTGTGAAGCACTGCCAGTTTCCAGCTGAATCTCTGTTAAAAGGTTTGTAAATCCTGTTGTGAATTTCTGCTGTTTAAACAGCAAATAAGAACCCTTACTAATTTCTGTATTGCAATAAGGCAGCTACGTATATAAATCCATGATTTATTTCACAAAAAGTACAGAGTAAAAATAAACACAACGCAAAGAACATTTGAATCAGATCCCCATATATCTGGTGCTGACTGCCCTTGTGCTTGCTCACGATGGAGCCACACAAATTCAGACAGTCTCCATGCTCCACAATACCTTGTCACAGCATATCCCATCCTGGGTTCTTAAACAGAAGTAATCTAAAGTATCACATATTCATTCTGACCCCCTGCACTGAAAGCATTTTAAAATAAATGCTTTATTTGTGTCCGAAGATAAGATCCACGCATCAGATCATTTTCTTTAATATAAAGTATAAGGCTTAATTGTGGCACCCATACAGATTCATATGTCTCAAGGCAGTCAGACAGAAAGCATTTGGTCAGAGCTATCCTACAAATCCCAACAATAGCAGCCTAATGTCCGCCTAAGGTGAAAGGGCAATGCATTTACCTTAACCTCTTTCTTTTTGGGTCCATCATTGTTTTCCGCCTCTTCATGCTCCTTCACACCTTGGGTGAGGTTCGTATAGTTTGCCAGTCTATTGAGCAGGGAGGACACCATTGGGTTTCTGTCCAGTTCCTCCTGTTGGTCAGAATTGGGAGAAGAATATTCCTCTTTTCCAAAATGTTCTTTGACACGTAACCATGCGCTTCCACACCGCAGGCACTGACAGCATCACTGTTCATGCATGCACACTCAACCTCACTGAGCCAGTCCGGAACCTTGTTGTCTTGTTTGACCCTCAACTGTGCTTTAAACCCCACATTCATCCTCCCTACCTCTGCGACCTACTAAAATGTTACCAACCTGTCCGTTCGGCAGGCACTGGCCTGCTCCACATCTCCCGCCCTGCTCGCTCCACCATCAGCTGTCAGACCTTCAGCCTTTTTTGTCCCCACCCTCTGGAACTCCATCCCTGAACCCTCCGCCACTTCTCTTTAACCTTCTGTCATCCTCCTCCACCCCCTTACCCTCCACTTCCCTCAACTCCAACCCCCATCGCAGGTGCAAACCCTTCACTGTCCAGCACCTTAGGACATCCTCCCGACATGAAAAGGTTCTGTATAAATGCAATCTGTTGTTGTTCTTGTCTCTTTGCTAAACACCCAGACTTCATGGAACTTTGTGCAAAACAAACCTATTATGTTCCCTAGACGTTGAATAACTCTCAGCAATTTTTGACCTTTCTCCCTTCCTCGGTGTTAAATAAGTTTGTTATGCCTCGTTAGCAGAATCAGTACCCAGTCTTTGACAGAGATGAATCAGATTGATATCCAAAAAGCGTGACCTTCTAATTTAAGAGCTGCAATAAATGAAAGAGATCCATTATCAATTTACAGAGAAAACTTTTCTCACACTAACCCAAATTACTAATGGTGAGGAGGTCCGAGGATGGGAAAACAAAGGTCAGTTATTGCAAAGTAGAGGAGCATGAGGTGGTGGGGGGTTGAAGAATAGCAACACTGCACACTTTAATTTCACCAATTTGATGATCAGAATTGCATGGAGACTTGCAAGGAGACCAAGACAGGTTTGTTCCCACGTCTATACAGAAATCACAAGTTTGTCCCACTCTTCTGTTTAAAAAAAAGGAAACAAAACCCGTGGGCTGAAAAATGCTGCCCGTGATGTGATAATTACCTCTAGCTAGTGCTAATCATCAAATCGTGGATTGCAGTTCTATTCATTGTGCATTTGTAACACATGAAATTGAACCCATCAAAGATTTGTGTACATCAGACCCTACTGAAACTTGTGGAAGTCCAGGTATTCTTTAATGCTGGATTATGATTGTAAATGGAGTGGGTTTAATAATAAAGGAATAAAGTTACCTCATATGGAACATCATTGGATTACACCAGTAGATAGTAAGCCAGTTATCTTACCTCAAAAAGTGCCAAGTTCTTCCCCTCATACATGGTTCCTTCGTCAATATCCGTGCTGTTAATAAATGGGCTGTTTTCTTTGGGAATGCCATCTCCTAGTGTCAGACAAAATAAAATCAATCCATAAGCAATTATCCTTGGTTTCTGTGGGGCACAAATTTAAGATAATCAAAAAGTAAGCAACAACAACTTGAATTTATACGGCATCCTTCACTCAGGGTAGCATCTCAGAGTGTTTAACAATGGCATAGTTTGACCCCGTACTGAGAAGGGGGAGTGGACATGGGCATGTTCAAAGAAGAAAGACTTCAGGTGTGAAGACGGGCAAAGAGGAAATTTTGTTGGCCAGGACAGCAGGAGAAACTCCCTTCTCTTTTTGTGTAGTGCCATGGGATCTTCAATGTTCACCTGAACAGACAGGACAGAACCCACAACCTTCTGACTCAGAGTGGAGTGTGCTACCGCTGAGCTGGACTGATACTTTACTTTTTACAGTAAAGTGTAGTGATTGGGTACTTTGTAGGTGAACACAGCAGCCAATTTGCACACAACAATGTCGTCCAGAAAGCCATGAAGTAAATGACCAATGTTATTTGGGGGATTGTTGCCCAGGACACTGGGAGAAGCTTCCTTCTCCTTTCGAATAATGCCATAGTATCTTTAACATCCACCTGAATGGGCAGCTTCTCACCCGCACTATTACTGCTCATCCGTAACTTAACGTTCTGTTCGGGGTCACCTAGAGCCTGCGTATCACCAGTGGAAGGGAGTTAAAGAGCTTAAAGAAAGACTTTGATTATTCCTCAATTAACAACAAAACAAATTAAATTTGTAAAGCACCTTTCACGTCGGGAGGACGTCCCAAGGCGCTGTCAACATCCCACAAGATAAATGGTAATCATCTGCAATGGAGGTCATTGGGTTTTGAAACGGGTGCTGTTCATACTCTAAATACGTACTGTCATCTGGAATCATGACCAACTCTGGAGGGAAATAAATCTGTGTCTGAGTGAACAACGTAAATTAATAGTGCACCATAATTATTTTTTTGTTTCTGCTCTTTATCCATGTGATTGCATCGCTCTCGCTCTGCTTTGTGTGTGCGTGTCTCTCTCTCAGCTGTCTATTTGTGTGTATGTCTTGCTCTCCGGCTCTGTGCGTGTGTGTATGTGTGTCTCTCTCTCTCTATGTGGATAGTCAGCATTTAATAAAGCAGCACTCTAGTGTCCAGCAACAAATAAAGGCAATGCAACAGTGCAGAAGAAGAAATTTGGAGGGCATTTGTGCAAAATGCACTTGTGAAGGTAGCAGCTGTGAACAAAACTCACCCCCCAAACTCAGTTTTTCCTTTAACTTCAGTTTAGTAGATATTCTGCTCCACTGCTAAAAGCACTAAATTTGCTGTTTTGCGATGAGTCCATTGTGTCCATTCACAATGTGTCCACTGTTGTGTCCATTCACTTTAGTGAATTTGAATCTTTATAACTAATTTCAATTACAATTTATTTATTTATTTTTGCAAATGCAGTAGTCACAAACTGTCACCAATGCATTTGGTGCACTAATAGCGACTTAGGTTTGTTACTCAACTTCCATGATTCACAACCAAAATTTGCCTCGAAACATTTTGTGAGGGGGGTGGGGGGGGGAAACAAGACAAAAATCAGGGACCTTTAGCTATACCTTATCCAGAAGAGATTACTTTTTCAGCCCATTTACTCTACAACAAAATAGCTTGACTTGCGTAGCGTTCTTCATGCGGGGCAGAGTCTCAGCGTACCAACTGTGCCATGTTTCAGCCTGGCTCAGTCAGTAGCACTTTCACCTCCGAATTGGAAGGTTGTGGGTTCAAAACCCCACATCAGGACTATGATCTCACATATTCCAATACAAGGCTGGGGGAGCACTACATTGTTGGAGGTGTCATCCTTTGGATGAGACATTAAACTGCGGTCCCTGCTCAGGTAGATGTTAAAGATCCCAAGGCACTATTTGAAAAGCGAAGGGAGCTTCTCCTGATGTCCAGGCCAACAATGCCCCGAAATAAAATGTGTCACTCACTCCATGGCCGTTTGTGGGACTTTGCGGTGCTTAACTATTATTATTACTACAACTGTGCAACTAGGTGGTACCGGGGACAGGCACTTCCCCATTGGAGCAACACAAAACAAGACATCCCAGGATCAAGCCTTCTCATGATCTTCAAAAACATACACAATATCAGTGAACCTGCCACCAATACAACTCAAAGCTCCCATTAAGATACAATTTGTAGTTTATCCCAATTCCCTAGCCAACATTGTGGTCATTAACTTCACAGCTGTGTATAGCAATAATAATCCTTGCATTTGATATAGCGCCTTCTCACACCTTCAAGACGTCTCAAAAGCGCTTCACAGAATATACTGTAAAGTGAATTATCTATTTTGTGGATGAAATGAGGCAGCCAATTGCACACATCAGTGTCCCACAAACAGTCCTGATTGAGCAATCAGAATTGTTAGTATTATTATTATTACGGGATTATTACCTCATGCAAAGTAATCCGCCAATCGATTTACAGCCGGGTTCCTACTTACTGCTAGGTAAACAGAGGCGTGTGGAGTAAGGAAACTTGCCCAACGTTTTATCCTGCTGGGAATCAAACCCAGGTCTCTCGCTTGCAAGGCGAGTGCTCTAACCATTAAGCTGCAGGACTCCACAATGCGGGATATTGCCATGTACAAACTGGTTGCCATAAATCATCTACAAAACACACAAGTCATGCTCTCGATCCAAAGACATAACATCAAACTAAAGATCAATATTAATTTATTGTCCAGCCTTCAATATCACGATTTATTCGCAGTTTTGTTTTTGGTTCAAGCAATTTCAGTCGCAAACTGGTATCGCTCTTAACACAGCGACTTACAGTTTGTGACCACGTGGTGTTCTCAGCCATGTTTCATTGCTGTTTTCACAAAACATACATAAATTTCTTGCACTTAGAATGACCCCTACCTTCACAGACGAAAAACAAGCGGGTGCTTCATCTCCAAAACATGGCATCAATGTCTGCAATATCTGTTGCAAATCTGTTCTTAGAATTGACACCAACGCAAGCAAGCTTGGACCGTACTACATTCCTTTGGCAATTCAGCCACTTAATAATAATCTTTGCATTTGATATAGCACCTTATCATGTCTTCGAGACATCTCAAAGCACTTCACAGAATATATTGTAAAGTGAATTGATAGTATATTTTGTGGGCGAAACTCGGCATTATTTTTTATTAATATTATTTTATTGGTTTATTTTGAAGGGATTATTACCCTTTCAAATAAAGCAATCTACCAATCAACTAACAACCGAGTTCCTACTTACTGCTGGTAAACAGAGCAGTGTGGAGTAAGGAAACTTGCCCAAAATTTTGCCTAGGCCGGAAATCGAACCCAGGTCCTCTCGATTGCAAGGCGAGCGTTCTAACCACTGAGCTACAGGACTCCATATGATCAACTAGTGACCATCGTCCTTGGGGGAGGTAAGCGGGGTCTCCTTGGAGCTGAACTGGCTCCAAGGTGACATGTTTGGCAACAGATTATTAGAATTGAGCCAGTCCTCTGTCTTGGTCTCGGTTGTCTGGTTCCTGAGCCAGGCGGGTCTGCAGTATTCCAGGGCACAGCTGGTGACAGCACAGTCAGCCTGGCTCATCGGCAGGACTTGGGAGGGAGCAGGGAATACTCACACTCATCTCCTGTTGGCCCTGCAAGCCAAAACCCTAAAAGGTAGGATGGTCCTAGCTGGACAAGTAGTGGGACAGCTTGCCAGATGGTACCTTCAAAGGCAAGCTATGTGGCTTGTGCTGATTGAACTCCAGCAGTACCCCAACGCACACTCTGGGGTCCTCAAGCCTTGGCTCTTGCCAACCTGCTCCTAATATTCTCCAGTTTCCTCCAGGGAAGAGGTAGTACATTCCATTCCAGATAAGGAAATTTCCATGTGGGGATGGGATGCATGGAACCTTCAGTCTGGCACTTTTGAGCATAGTTATGGGTTTCTGCGTGTGCCAGACACCTGGATGACCAAAAAGTAAAATTTAATTTGTCCACTGGTCACATGGTCCCAATCCCTGGCTACCTACTGGTGTCGGCTGATTGCCAACACCGGATATAGACTTCAATATTCAAGCTTCGGATTTAGAAGGATCCAATTGTCATCCAATATAAATCGGCAATCATCTGTCTGCACGTCCACAGCATTACCGCTTTGTGACTCTCAGCTACAATAATTCTCTCTCATTCTGTTACATATACTACACTGCAGATCTTGTAAAGTGAATCTGATTTAACATTATACTGTACCAGATGGAGTGCTCTTCCGAGGTTAGGGCAGAGTAGACATAGAGATTTTCTATAGGATGTCCTGACCAGCGAGTTCTTCCCCCACCCCTATAAAAAGGGGCTTCTCAACTCTGATCGTGCCAAACTTGCGGAGTCTCGTAGCTTAATGGTTAGTGCGCTCGCCTCCGAGAGCACCCCTCAACCAAGAGAACCCCGGCTCGATTCCCGGGTGCAGCAAAACCTTAGGCAGGTTTCCTTACTCCACATGCCTCTGTTTATCTCGCAGTAAGTAGGAATCCGGTTGTTAGTCGATTGGTGGATCACTTTCCGGGGGGGGGAGGGGTAATAATCCCTCAAATAAGAAATTTGGTCACTCAATCCACGACTGTTTGTGAGACACAGCTGTGTGCAATTGCCTGCCGCATTTCACCCACAAAATACAGTCCATCCACTTTACAATAGAGTCTGTGAAGCGCTTTGAGACATCTCAACGATATGAAAAGGCGCTAGATCAAATGCAAGGATTATTATTATTCGCCCAAAAAACTTTAGGTTTCTGACAGTCGTTTTATATTTCTGTTGTTGTTGTTCAGCTCTGAATTCTGAAATGACGCCTAATGCGGTTCTGATGTGTGCGTGAATCCTATCACTAGATTATACACAGAGATAAACCCATAATCCTCAAAGCATAGCTAAAACAGAGCTCATGACATCAATGGAACAGTCCACTGAGGGGGAGGAGGTGGATTGTGAAACAGATAGACATTGGAAGTGA